TGCTGGCAACAAAGCTGCTGTAAACTTACCTTGCAGACTATCATGAACATGGTGAAAAAGAAGATGAGGTTGGCTTCAGAGATGGGGAGCCAGTGAGTCTGCTGCAGAGTGAAGAGGACTGTGCCATACAGACTGGCCTTTGTAGGGCTGGAAGAGAAAGAAAGAGGTTTTCTGGAAGGTTTGCACCCAGCCCTAACTGGTTCTTTCATTCCATTCTTCATCTGACTGGGAATTTCCAGGATGCTGACTTACAAGGACATATGAAGAATTTCATTTGTATCAGGCTTCCAGACCCCACGCAGCAGCTGCTCAAAGTTCGACATCAAGGCCACACCAGAACCTGTGAGACAGAGAAACCTGTCAAAGAGCTGCAGCTGCCACAGCAGAGGGCTCTGGATCCTCAAGGGGACAAGGGGTTCTTGACATTCTCCCCAAATTCAGAAGTTAGTCTAAGCCAAGAGAGCAGGGCAAATGCTTCCTTGACTTTCTACCAAGTGGATCCTGATGTAGGGAAAAGGCATTTGCCTCTTGCAGTTACTGATGCTCAAGTGCTTGCTCCAAACACAACCTTAAAGTAAAACTGACTGCCAGAACCCCCTGAAAAGACACAGGTGAGGTCAGAGATCACAGGAGAAAGAATAAAGAACTCCTGACTCCAGTTCTAACACCATTCTTCGAGGCTGCACAAACACCAGTGTGGTGGGAAGCTGTAAGAGCCTGACAGAGAGAAGGAGGCTTCCAGCTGGCTCCTAAAATGCTGTTCATTGCATAGCTGAGGTTCCAGCAGTTGGGTGTCGTGGTTGAGCCCAGTGCTGCTGGCTGTGGCCAAGCTGTGTGTCCTGAAGCCACTCTAGTTCTGGTTACAATGCATTATGTGCTTTTCATTACAGAGCATCTTAATACATGGCTACCAATCAACATCATACACAATACCTTTTACATTTACATATAACCCATCCAAACTGCTAAAATTACCATATTATGTTAGTGACTAATCAATCATTGGAGTAGTCACATGTTAAACTTTGGGACTTGTTCTGCAGTGGAAATTTCTGAGATCTTTTCTCTACTTGCAACATTGGCTTTCTTGTTTGCTTGTGAAAATCCTTTTGTTTGGTAGAAACATCTTTTGTTTGAGGTGGATTTATCCTTTGCTCTAAGCCATAAAAGCCCCTTCCAACTCACTTGCTCTTTGCCTTCTAGTTACCCAGTCAGACTGGCTCAGCAATTCTTTCCTTCTATACCAAAACTTCCTTTCATTCCTGTAGAACTTTCTGGATATCTGCACAACTCCTCCGTTAAAATTCTCATCCTTCCCAACAGGAACCTGAGTGCCCCAGCCCACATCCCCTCCCTGCTGCTGCTCCCCCTGAGCTGCCCCCACAGCGTCCCAGCCCTCCCTGCAGCCCCTGGAGCATCTCAGGTGTCACCTTTGACCCATCCCGTGGCCATCATCACGAACCACCCGTGGTGGTACAGGTGGTGGGCGTGGCGCACCCCGGCCGCGATCTTGCGCACCCGGACCACCTCCTTCATGGCCACGAAGATGAGCTTCACGGGCAGGAAGCTGACACACTTGTAGAAGAGGTTCATGGGACAGAAGAATATCAGGTACCTGCAAAAAGATCACGGATTTGTGCTGGTCTGGGATATGCAGAGAGGGGGTGTGTGTGGCAGATTGAGTTATGGCAGGTGTGGGTGAAGGAGAAGAAAAGTCTAAAAAAAAAATAAATCCTGATTTCACAGCTAATTCTACAGGGAAACCAGCATGCAACAAGGCCTCTCTATAGCAACAACTCTGAGCCCTCACTACTAATACTCCATCTTAAATAAAACCCCCTAATTTTAATTCAGAATTTTTTAGAAGTTTGTGTCTTATATGGTCCAGAAGCATCAGCTCATATAGAACAAAAAGCTACATATACTGAACTGATATTACAGACAGAGGACAGATTTCAAATACTCTTTTTTCCAGAAGACTGCCATATTTTTCAGCCCTGAAAGATCTTTCTCTTTATTTTCTCAGGTATAGAAAACTAGATGGCTGAGGGATTTACTCTGAGACATCTGCTTATGAAAATTTAATTCACAATGTTTCCCAACAATGCTCATTCTGCCACACAGAAGCACCTACAACTCATACACACTGTGGAAGTTAAAGGTTCATTTGTGCACGTTTCAGCAACATAATGAATAAAATGCCCCCAAATCTTCAGGATGTGCCACTCCTTGCCCTGTGTGGGATCCGTGGGTGCTGCTGCTCCTGTGGTTTGGCCCTGGCTCAGCAGTGGCTGCTATGAATAGAAGTGCCCCAGCCCAGATAATCACAGCATTAGGCAACTGGTCAGGGACACTGGGAACCAGAGCCAGGAGTGCAAGAGCCTCGAAGACCTCAGCCCACCTCTGCTCTCCCCAGTTAATCCCAGTGAGATCAGAGCTGTGTCCCACAGGGAGAACATCTCCCCCCACACCTCCCTCCCCAGCAGAGCGCTGGGCACAGCCTGTGCCACCCCAGGAGGGCTGCAGGGCACTCACCACACTGCTGTGGCCAGGATGACACTGGAGTTGTGGCTGAAGTAGCCAATGGGTGCCTCTCCCAGCAGCAGGTCAGCCAGGATGTAGCTCCCAAAGCAGTGGAGCATAGCACAGAGCCAGGAGGCAAAAGGGCTCTTCCGGGACATCTCCACAGCTCCTGTAAAAAAAAAATTGGGAATCAAAGAGTCACCAGTGTTGGAAGGGACCCTCAAGGCCATCTAGTCCAGCCTCAGTGAGAAGATGGATTTAGCAATTAAGCAGGAACTTCAAGACCCAGTAAGAGAAAGGCTCGAGGTGCGTGTTCTCCCACAAAGCAACTCAGAGAAAAGCGCTTGTAAAACAAAATACAAAAGTGTGAAGCCCAAACAAGTACCAGAGATGGTCAAGAAATGATCACAGTCTGCAGACCCCCCCGAAGGTCTCACGTGAACAGAGTCATTAGAAGTTTATGAACTGGCTGAGAGATTCTCTCCTTTATTTGCTGCTACCAGAAAGAACATTTTTTTTCCCTTGAAATCAGTGTCTTTTTAATAGTCTAAAAATAAAATGCATACTAGTACCATTCTCTCCACTGCTTCAACCTAGGTGCCCTCTAGAATTCATGAACAATCTGTTCAGCTCTTTCATTCGTAAGATAACCTGCAAAAATAGAACAGGAATTCTTAAGCTTTATTTGAGAGAAGAGAATTTGAGGGCTCTTCCCTGCTCCTGTACCAGTCTGGAAATACTTTGTGGTCTCCTCCCACAATCTGCTACGGCCTTTTTTTAAACTCCTGTAGCAATTTTCATCCACCTTTGTACTTTTCCAGGGAAACTTCCCAACAACATCAATTCTGTGAGGTTGTTTCATCACCTTAAACTGCTCCAGAATCCTTCGTGCGGTGTTTCAGATACAAACCTCTGTTCAGCGAGCAGACAAAGAGAGAAAATGCTAAAAACGTTATGTCAATATGATTACCTGGTACACCTTAAACAACAGTAAGTGGATCAGCATGAGCCAAAGCTGTGGGTGCCCAGGCTCTTCCATCCTCGGGGACATTTGAACCAGCTGAAAACACAGCGGCAGCGAGACAGCTGCGACAGCCGAGACATGAAACTGGTTCTATAGGAACCTGAGGTTTAGCTTGAGGCTTAAATTTAGTAACACTTGTTTTTCCTTGGCTCCACGAAGCCATGCTGTCTCCAAGGAGGAAACAGAACAGTTCTGTCCTGACACTGATCCTCAGCCCAGGAGCTGTGGGATGGGGGCACTGCAGGAATCTGGGGAAAAGCACACCCCGGCTATATCCAGTCCCAAGCGGATTCCTGGGCTTGCATATATTTAAAAGTTATTTTTGTGAGGGCTGCCTGTTAATTGTTCGGTTCAGGACTCCATGCTGGAAGGCAGCTGGGAGTGATCAGGCCTGGAGAACCCAGCACTTGTTTACAGGGAGTTTAACGGGAACAGCGCATGGATTGTACGGCACAATGCGAGGTTTGAAAATCATCCCGAGCTCGGGGCTGGTTTTCCCTTCAGTCACTGAGCAGTTACAGTGAAACTGCTCAAAACAGAGCATGAGGAGTGCACACATTGACAAAAACAGAGGGAAAGTTTGGACAAGACCGAGGCACAGCCAGGCTGCGACAAGGCAGAAGGTGAAAGCCAAGGTACAGATCTATCGATCTGGGCAAGATAAGCCCAAGAGAACAAACAAAGCAAGGTCAGATACGGTTCCTGAGAACAGCTCAGGGCATGGTCCAAAGGGTGGGAAAAACCAAGGTTTTACTTCCAGCCCTTTTGTATATAAATAGGAGGAAGGTACTGCCACAAAAATGTTCAAGCCAAGGGACTGGCCAGAAACGCAACTCAGTCCTGGGGTGGCAGCCAAGGGATCGAACTTAAATACCTCAATGCGACCGGAATCCAGCCTTAAATAAAACCCAAGATTATTTCTCAAAATCAGAGTCACGGGTTCGTGGGGGTTTTTCCGGCTCTGTATTCAGACTCAGGTGTCGGAGCTGTGCCAGGCGGCGGAGGACAGGGACGGGCAGGTGGCAGAACCTGCGGGTGCGGGGCAGTGCGGGCTCTGTGCCGGCACGGCGGCACCGGAGCTCCCCCCAGCCCCAGGGCCGCACTCACCGGGCTCGTACTTGAGGTAGAGGATGGAGATGATGAAATAGGCGGTGTCGAACAGCGGGAACACCGGCAGCGAGGCGAAGGCGGCCGCCAGCTCCCCGAGGGGCAGCGCCTCCGCCAGATCCATCGCGGCCCCGGATCTTGAGCGCTTCTCAGCTCCCGGTCCTGGATTCCCTGCCCCGGCCCGGCTCCGCAGGGGCTGCGGGAGGTGCTCCCGGCGCTGCCCGGGCCGGGCCCGTCGCTGCCCGCGGTGTCCGGGCGCGGAGCCGCCCCGGTGCCGGTGCCGGGGAGCGCAGGCGCCGCCGGCCCGGGCAGCGCCCGCCCCTTCCGCTTCCCCTGGGCCCCGGGGCCGCCGCCGGAGCCATGATCGGGGACCTGCTGCTCTGCGGGTACCGGGGCCGGGAACCGGGAGCGGCTCGGCCGGCTTAGCCCGGCCCGGCTGTGCCTGACCCTGTTCCTCTCCCTATCCCCCGTCCCCGACCCTCTTACCCCTCTCCATCTCCGTTCTCCCTCCCCGACCCGCTTTCCGGGCCTCACTTTTCTTGGCCTTTCCCCTTCTCCCTTCCCCGATCTCTTTCACCATCCCTGACTCTTTTCCCCCCTCTCCTTCTTTTCCCGTGCTCATTTCCTTCTTCCTTTCCCCCTTTCCTCGTCCCCCTTCCACCGTCCCTGACCCCCCCATTCTTCGTTCTCATTCCGCTTACTCGACCCTCTTTCCCCGTCCCCCTGTCCCTTTCCCCGTCCCCTTGTCCCTTTGCCGTCCTCACTCCCCTCTCCCTCTCCTTCCCCCACTCCATCCCCGACCCCGTTTCCATGTCCCCGTTCCCGTCCCCATTTCCCCGTCTCTCCCGCAGGACGCTGCTGGTGAACGCCGGTGCCGTGCTCAACTTCAGGCTGTGAGCGAGCGGGGAGGGCGGGCGGCGGAACGGGGAGGGTTTTTTGGGGTTCACCTGCCTGACACGGCCCCTGTGCCCCGCAGGAGGAGGAGGGACACGGAGGGATTCGGAGAGGAGCCGAGGGAACCCACGACCGGTAACGGAGGGGACGCGGGAGCCGGGCACAGCCCTGCACAGGAACGGGCTTTTCTGGAAGAAACCCTTGGCCAAAGCACAGTTTTTCTACCCCTTTTTGTTGGGTGTGAATTGCTGATGGGCTGGAATAACTGGTTTGTTAACTTGTAAACTGAAATGAGAAGAAATAAACAAAAAAGCTTTTTTTTTTTTTCAGCATTTTTGACTGTAGGTGCCTGTGCTATAGAGGTAATGCTCTGCTCACTCCCTGATTGCCATTTCCACATGGATACACCTGTGTTGCTCCCTTGTAGCTCTGTTTGCTGGTTAAAAATCCCAGGAAGCCTTTGAACTACAACTGCTCTTCCCTTTTTTGCAATGTGACCCGTTTTTATATTTTTTTTGGTCATTTTGCCACATATCCTTACAGAGTTGCACTGAACAGAGCATCCATCCTTCACCTATAACCTCAAATTTCAGTCTGAACTTTGTTGATTTTTTATTTTATGGGGTTTTTTTCCCCTCTCAGAGTTGCTTGTGCAGGCAGCCTGAAAATGTGACTTGTCAGGTGTGTTTTTCATATCAAAAGCTTCTCTTGATTTCTAGGTGACAATATCAGAGAGTTCTTGCTGAGTCTCAGGTATTTTCGAATCTTCATTGCCTTGTGGAATATCTTCATGATGTTCTGCATGATTGTGTAAGTAATTCTGTGCAGCATTTTCTCACTTGCTTATAGGAAGTCATGTATTGTCACTTTTCTTGCACATATATCTCTTTTCACATCTGTCTCTCCCACTCAATTTCTCCATAATTCTTTTTCACCTCACTTCTTTATTTCAGTTTTCAACTATGGGTTGATCTCACGTGTTTTTTGGTTTGTTTTTTTTTTTTTTGCTAATGTGGGCACCTTTAGTACATGCAACCCACCTGTGCCATCCCGCCTCAGGCAGAGTGCTGCCTGTTGGAGGTTGTTCAAATCAAACATCACCTGGGTTTAAATTTGGGGATTGTGGAAACCCACCAAGTTAAGCAGATGAAATCAGCCTTGCACTGGTGTGGCTGTTTCTCATCTACTTTTTTTTTTTTTTTTTTTTTTTTTTCTGTTGCATCCCTCAGGTTATTTGGATCTTGAAAGCCACCCATGGACACATTGGAAGAGACTTTTGGCTGGGAACAAACTTTTCTGGAAGTAAAAGATTCTGATGCTCTCCAGCTGCAGCCCCAGGCCTGTGTGGAGCTGGGACAAGCTCGTCCCCTCCAGGTTCCTTCTCTGCCAGGGCTTGGAGCCACAACCTTCACACAAATTATCTCAGCTTCACTGAAACAGAATTTTAACTTGGTTTTCTAAGCTCAGAGTGGGGAGCAAAGGAGAATTGGAGCCAGTTTCAAACCTTTGCCTTGCCAGTCCCAGCTGGGGCTGTGCCAGCTCGTGTTACCCCTGTCCAAGTCACACTCTTTAGTTCTCAGTTTTGTGTAAAAGTTGAGCAGAGTGTTCTTGTACCTTCTCACTATTCCATTCATTTTGTTGGAGGTGTAGAAGATTAATATTCAAGAACAAAAAAATGCCGTTTTTGCCTTCTCCCTGTTTTTCCAGAAAAAAAGCACTTTCTAAATTAATATTTCAAAGATTTTTTTTTTTCCTAAGCAATATGTAAGGGATTTTGAACGGGGGGAAAAAGGCAAAAATAATTCTTTAAGCCAATGTTAAGAGATAATTTTGAAATAATATTGGATTTGGTTGAATAAAGCTGTTCTATTTAAGGGTAAAATATGTATTTGATGCTATGTTCATTCTGTTACGGGAGAAATTGATTCTGTATTGGTGTATTTTGGGAAATTGTAGCTAGTCCTGTAATCTGCCTGGAGTCTTGTATTATTTATATTAAGTTGGCTTCTCTGACCAACAGCTTTTCCCCAGAATAACCAAGATAATTTAAGAGAGTACAGTGCTGAGTATCTTTTAAATCAAACTAAACTGTTAGTGGGGCTTCCACGGCTTCAGTTTCTTTAGCTGTCAAGGCGGAAGAGACCTGATTTAAATGATTGCCTGGCATAGGTTTTAGGGAGTATTTTGAATTTTGTCTGGTAGTGAGATGCAAGTGTTGGGCACCTGCAGCATTTTACTTGAGTCACCCTCTTGGTTGAACTGAAGTTTTCACATGAATGAAACGTGACAGGGGAAGGGTCATTTGAGGGAGGATGCCTGGCTGTAATGAACCCAGAAAAATGTACAGACAGGCTCCTTCAAATGTGGTTTGAGCCATCCAGAAACATGTACAACCTTTGGTTAAATTGAAACACATTCTTTGTCTGTAATTTCGGTATATTTTAACCGTTTTCTGGTCCTTAAGAATGAGGAGGGGGAAAAAAAGTGTGCTGCCAAATACAATACAGGGATTGAACCAATATAATTATTGGAAAAGGTTTTATGCCTAATCTTCATTAAACCAAGTGTGAAGGGAAGGGTGGATGTGGCATCACTGCGTGTGTGTGTGACCTGCTGGACACCCCTGGACTCAGCCCCGAGCTTTGAGCTTGGGGGTTTTATTCTTCCTCGGAAAAATGACGAGCCTGTGCAGAGCTGACAGTGCTTTATGATCACAGGGAAAGGAGCTGCACTGCTCAAGGAATTCACACACTTTTATCACCCTGCATATCCTGTGGCCCCAGAGCCTGCTATCCCACACAAGACTCCAATTGTGCAGAAGTGATTCAGCTTCGAAGCAGCTGCTTTAAAAAAGCGAAATCAGAAGTCAATTTTGAGCTGCATTTAAATGCTCTGAGAAGTTTTAAGTGCGCTGATGCGAACCAGAACACCCCTCACACCTACACGGCCGGAGTGCTGCCCCTAGGGGGTTTATTCCCGTTATTTATTTCCATGATTTATTTCTCTCCGCAGGCTGCTCGGTTCCTCCGGGGCCGGGCGGGGGTCGCGAGTTCCCCGGTTCCCGCTGCCCCCTGTCCGCCGGCATCGCCCCGCTCCTCCCGTTCCCCGTGCTCCACTCTCCCCCTCACGGCTACCCCCGCAGCGCCCTCTCCTCCAACTTCTGCCTGATGTCCCCATGTCCCCAGCACCGCCCGTGTCCCCTCAGCGCTCTCTGTTCGTTGTCCCCATGTCCCCCAGCATTGTCCCTGTCCCCTCAGCGGTCTCTGTTCGCTGTCCCCATGTCCCCAGCATTCCCCCTGTCCCCTCAGCGGCCCCTCTTTGCTGTCCCCATGTCCCCAGCATTGCCCCTGTCCCCTCGGCGGTCTCTGTTCGCTGTCCCCATGTCCCCAGCATTGCCCCTGTCCCCTCGGCGGTCTCTGTTCGTTGTCCCCATGTCCCCAGCATTGCCCCTGTCCCCTCGGCGGTCTCTGTTCGCTGTCCCCATGTCCCTAGCACTGCCCCTGTCCCCTCAGCGGTCTCTGTTCGCTGTCCCCATGTCCCCCAGCATTGCCTCTGTCCCCTCAGCGGTCTCTGTTGTCCCCATGTCCCCAGCATTGCCCCTGTCCCCTCGGCGGTCTCTGTTCGCTGTCCCCATGTCCCCAGCACTGCCCCTGTTTCTCCCTCTTCCCGCGTTCCCCTTTTCCCCCTCACGGCGCCCCACCCCCCCTCCGGCCCCGCCCCGCTCCCCCCACCGCGCACGCGCGTTCCCGCCGCCGCCCGCCCTCCCCCGCGCACGCGCGGTGCGCGCCCCCGGCGGCGCGGGCGGGCGGGGGCCGGGGCGCGGCGCGCGCACGTCACGGCGTCGGGCGCGTCCCAGGGAGCCGCGCGCGGCGCCGGCCCTGCCCCCAGCGCGCCCCGCGTTCGGCCCGAGCGGAGCGGAGCGGAGCGCTGGGCTCGCCCGCTCCCCCCGGCCCCCCGCGCCGCCCCCGCCCCGCGGGGAGCGAACATGCTCCTCCGGCTCCCCGAGGCCGCCGCCGCCGGCGAGTGAGGAGCCGCCGCCGTCGCCGCCCCGGCCCGGCCCGGCCCCGCCGCCCGCCCGCCCCGGCCGCAGCCGCAGCCGCCCCGCTTCGCCCAGGCAATGACAGCGGCTCCGGCCCCGTCCCCGCAGCAGATCAGGGACCGGCTGCTGCAGGCCATCGACCCGCAGAGCAACGTGAGTACGGGCCCCGCGGGCCCCCGCCGCTACGGGCCGACCCCCGCCCGGCGCCTCCGCCGCGACGCCTTTCTCCCCCCCCCTCCCCGGGGCCTTCGGGGCTCTCGCCGGGGCCGGCCCCGGTGCACCGGAGCCTCGGCTGCGGGCGGTAGCGCGGAGCTCCCGGCGCGCCGTCCGCCCGGGGTCCCGCAGCCGGCGGCGCCTCCCGCCCGCGCCCCACGGGCCAGGAGCGCCGGGCCGCCCCGCTGGGGGCTCCGGAGGCCGCTCCCCGCCCGCCCAGGGCCGCGGCCGCCCCCGCCCCGCCGCCGCTCGGCGCCCCGGGCCCGGCCGGTGGTGCCCGGCCATGCGGCGGGCGGCCCGGCCGCCTCCCCACGCCAGGCCGCGGCTCGGGCGCGGCCTGCAGGGGGCTCTGGGCCGGCCCCGCCGCCGCTCGCCGGGACCTTCCGGGGCGCCCACCTGTTCCTCGGGCCCAGCGGCCGCTCCGGCCGCGGCCGGGGGCACCCCGGGCTGCGGGAACGCCAGGAGGGCTCCGGCGGTCGCTGCGGGGCTCTGGAGCTGCTCCAGCACCGAGCAGCCTCGGTGTTCGCTTTTATCCCTTCCTGCAGCGCCGTAATGAGCTTATCTGCTCCTTCTGGGATGTGGTGTAAGCAGAGAAGTCAGCGTGTATTTTACCTGTAAGTGGCCTTAAGTGGCGGTTATCCAAAGGATCACTTGCTCCTTTTAAGGGTTTTTTGGCTCATCCGAGCAGTTCTTTGCTTAGGTGTTTATTACTGTGAGAGGACTGCAGGGCCCTCAATCTGTCCAATTTTTGAGTCTTAGATCAGCAGTCACCACCGCAGGATGCCAAGGTGGGTCTGTCTTGGCCATCTGCAGTTTGTGGGGGCAGCCTCTGGTGTATCAGGCTAAATGTGTACGTGTTCTTCCAGGGGCTGGGGTGTGTGAAATGGTGCTTTGGTTCTATTAAAGTCATACCTGCTCCTGTCTGAACAAGTGCTTTTTTGTGCTAGGCCTGTATCAAAGTGCTAAAGTAGCTAATAAAGTTATTGTCATTTGGTACCCCTCCCTGAGCAGCCTGCCTGTGCCATGGGGACTGAAGAAAAATACGGTGACCTTGTAGGTTCTGTAGAACCCCCTGGGCTGGGCATCTGTGGTGAGCTGCAGTGTCACACTTTGGAGTAACAGTAACAAATCATGGTGGCAATTGTGAGCTGTTAAATGTCAGCGTTGTCTGAGTTTGCAGTACTTTAACGTGGATCTTGCTGAAATGTCAGTTAGTGCACTTCATGAAGCCTGTTTGCTCTGAGCTCTCATTCTGTGGCTGCAGATTTTTCACTCTGTGTGAGACTGAGTGCCAACCTACTTTAATAAAATTCTAGCAGATCTGCGGTATCTTTTGACTTCAGAACTGTCAGCTGCAGTGGTTACCCTAATTCTGGTGTTACTTTGTCAGACACGGTGGCTGTGCAGAGCTAAGCAGGCAGGAAGTCAGTTTTGTGATGGATACTCTTCCCTTTCTCCACACGCTGATGTTACACCATGCTATTGTGAGAGGACCCAAAATAACCAAGCAGCTCCCTGAAAGGGGAGGCCAGAGCTTCCAACAGGTCAGTAGCCCCTTAAGTTTAGGAGTGATGTATGTTAAATTATAATTCTACATACTTGATACTTATCCAGGGCAATAATTGGTGGCGGAAAAATCAGCCCATTGTTCTGAAGTGCCTGTAGGCAGGGTCTGCCTTCCAGTTTAACCTTTTCTTGAAGGAGAGCAGAGGTGGTGTAGCTGAGGGTCATTGTGCAGGCTGAGAGCTCAGACTCTTGGCTCCAAAGCACAGGGAATATGTGGTGCTGTCGATTGTTCACTACCTGGCATGTCACTGGCACAGAGGGAAGAAAAACTTACATTTTGAACACACTTAAAAAGCAGATTCTGAGTTTAATCACACTTGAGCACCAGCATGCAAGTACAAGGAGCTGCTCTGCTGTTTTCCTGCTTGGAAAGTCAGTGCAGCCACGAGCTGGGGACTCGTGGAAGGCTCCAGCTACTTTCTGCTGGCTCTTGGAATCTTCTCCTGACAGAATTAGTTGTGTTCAAATCTACAGCATTCATTGTTGCCACTGACTTCCTCATTTACCAAGAAAGCCAAGCTTTGAGGCCTAGATTTAATTCAAGCTTTTCAGTACAGTTGGTGTGTGTGTGTTTCTGGAGAGGGTGAAAGCTGCACCAATAGTGTCATGTGGGCAAAACCAGTCCAGTTCTATGGGGCTGAGGAGGGAGGAGATGGTCGGCTCTTCATGCTGCTTTACTGTAGGGTCTGTAAATTTAAGCTTCACTTAAATTCCCTAACACATCCCCTAACCAGCTGCTATTGTGGATATTCATTCCTGAGTGGTTAGCTGGATCTTGGTCGACTAACAAGTCATGCCTTAAATGAAAAAATAAAAAATGAGGACGTAAGTTTCTCTACCTCTGTTGGGTTGAACTGGTCAAAATAATCGTTTCCCCAAGCTTGCAGAACCTGCTGGCCTCAGGAAATCATCTCCTGTGCTGATTGTTCATCTCCAGCTGCTCCATAAAGCCCTGCTGACTCGGGAGCAATATTGAATTTACACATGTTTAGCACTTGAACCTCCTCTAGTAATCGCTGCAGAATATATTTATAACTTAGTTTCCAACACTTAGAGGTTACCCGTGTAAATTCTGAACTATTTCAAAGGAGACCTATAAGAAATAAGCTATTTTTAAAAGAACTTACATCATCCTAGAAGCCACCCGGGATGTCTGGTATTGTGTCTTCATTTATTCAGCCTTTTCTCCTCGAGGAAACATATGGGCAAACCACTTCTGCTCCATGACCTAAGCACTGAGTACCAGCATCACTTTCCTTCCAAGGCTTCTGTGAGAACATAGGAGGAGGTGGAGGAGAGCAGGAGTTCTGTTCTGTGAGGTCTGACAGGAGAGATGTTCCTTGATTCTGGTGGGAACAAGGCTTTTGCCTTCAGCCTCTGTGTGCTGAGAAGCCACCCCTTCACCCAGCAGAGCACCTTTGCCTTGGTAACTCGTGCTCTGTGCTCCTGGGGGAGTTTATTCCCTGATGTCAGGAGTAATGAGAAATGTTGGTTTTTGCTCTGTGGGCAAGCCTGTCGTTTCCAACCAGCTGCTAGAATTGTGCTTGCAATTAAATGGTTCCTCATGCTGAATATGTAGCAATCTGTTCCTGTTTTTAAATATTAGATAATAACTTCATTATTTGCCATTAGTACCCCTCTGTGACACAAACCCAGCTTTGGTTTGAGTAACAGCCTGTATTGTGTGCTCCCTGTGAGGCTGGGCTCTAACTTGAGCTGTGGTTCCTGCAGTATCTCAGCTGGACTTGCTGCACAGACCTTCAGGAGTGGTCCATGGTCTGAATTATTAATAATTAATTGATTTGTGTGATGGAATATGGTGCACTGGCATGGGCTGATCTCCCAGCTGGCACAAGTTACATGGTTAAGGATGCTCCTGTGGCTCTTTCCTCTGTTGGTTGTTTTACCAAGGTGCTGGACACCAAACCCCCCTCACCAGTGGTAAAGGGGCTTTCCAGTAGTGTGTTAAGAAGGTGCAGGGCACTGTAATAATATAAATACAGAAAGCAGGGGAAGCTGGGGTTCACTTCCTGAGGGTCTCAGGGATTCCTTTGGATGCAGGAAGTGTTACGTGTGGGCGAAGGTAGACTAGGAATGGCTCCTGCTTGAGCTTTATCCTTTTCTGCGAGCCCTAATGAGCTTAGCAGTTTTGAGGGAGGTGCAGAGAACCTGTTGTACCTCTTGCCCTCTTTGTCCCTTTCCTCACTTGCAGCTCATCTTGTCTGGAGCAGTCTCACATTTTGTGCGTGAAGGCAGCAGGTTGTTCCAGGTGTGTGACAAAATGCAGGGGGTTGGGGAGCATTTCCTGATGTGCAAGGTCTGAGGTGTTGTTATATCATGTCAGTCTTGAGTTCCAGATCAAGATTTGGGCCTGATGTAGAGAGTCCCATTGCGTTCAGGTTCTTTATAATAACTTTAAATGAGGTCTGTGTTTCTTAGTGCTCTTTATTATAAACACTTGGATTCACTTGAATTCACCATGTGAGGGTGATGGTACAGTTGATTTTTTGGCCTTGCTTTGAGTTTTGCTTGTCCACTTCTTTCCAAAAAAGCTTATTTGGCTTGATGGCAGTGCAGGTTTGGGAGGCTGGAGGTTTAAAAACTTTTAATTTTTTCAGTGCCCCTTGGAGCAGTGAGACCATTCTGAACTTTGAGGCTGCTAAGACAAAATCTGAGTGAACAGAAATATCAGGGAGTTTGCATTGAGGGGTCAAAGCAAGGGGAATGCCAAACTGCTTTTCAGTTGTTAATTCCTTGAAACTCCCTAGGTTGCAGTGATGATGGCAGTAGTCATTTGCTCTGAAGGTCTAATTTGAGTGTTTGTTTCAGCAGCAGTGACAATTTAAATAACACCCACTTCTTATTCCTGCTACACACACCCATTTTATGTGTTCAGGATTGTGTGGTGAATTGAACTGAGGAATTGATCAGGGTTTAAAGAAGAAAAAAGGCAATATATGGATCTTTTCCCAGGTAGTTTTTGATGTAGCTCAATTAGTTGATAAAACTTCTGGTGCATCACAAATAGTTCTGGCAGCAGAATTGGGTCTTAAAGTGTTTAAATGAGTGTGGAAGCAGAAAAGAACAGCTTCCTGTGAGAGTGGGGAGGCCCTGGCACAGGTTGCCCAGAGAAACTGTGGCTTCCCCATCTGTGGAAGTGTCCAAGGTCAGGTTGAACAGGGCTTGGGGCAACCTGGGATAGTGGAAGGTGTCCCTGCCCATGGCAGGGGAGTGGAATGGGATGGGCTTTAAAATCCCTTCCAACCCAGCCCAGTCTGTGATTCCACGAGGAGTGGAATGTTGCTGCTTCCTGGGTGCTTCCCTGCTGCCTTGGGACCTGGCAGGAAGGAGGTGTTGTCACCTGGAAAAGTTAA